ATAGCTTCAAAATACTACATATAAAAAAATATTGTAAAAAAATGGAACCAGATACCCTCATGATGTCATTTTAGCATTTTAGAATAAATACACGAATCTTAATATCATTGTATCATAAATTTATTAGGTAACATCTTGTCTGGAATTAAAAATTTATCATACGTATGACATGCTCTGGCGCATCGAATCAAATTGGAATCATGAGCTATTTTCAGATGCCAATGGTATATTTTCTAAATGGAATATGGAAATATTGTAAAACGATGAAGATGAATTATCCACGGAAACAATACAAATGGGGAACAGAGCAAACACGATCCCATGAACACGTAGAAATGGGATCAGATACCACGTAGGAGTAAGCCTTTCGACAGATCCCGAGCTTTGCATTTCTTTTCATGATCGGGAAAATATTAAATTAAGGGGGCCGACTATAGTTTTATTGTGTGAAAACTACAATAGCGAAACTCTTCATTTTTATACCATATATAACTTACATTAACTTCAGTGTACATGCAAAGTTTGGGGGAAATCTACCGTCCAGGTATTTTTGATGGACCGTCTCAAAATACAGGTACATTTCTATAGGATTATACAGGAAAATACCAATTTTTAGCACTTTAAAGTAAATAATACAAATACTACAATAGAAATTTTGTTCAAACTATAATATTTGATGAATAATACTATATTATACAATATATGTAAGAAACACAAAATTCTACCGTCTTGTTACCAGAGAGGGCATCTCAAAATGCAAAAAATTAGCAAATTTTACTATTTTATTGGAGATATTCTCAAATTTCTATGTTTAAAATTTCAAGAGCCTATGTTTATTACTTTTTCTTTAATAATATTATTATTACCCCTTTCTTTAAGAGCTACAGATTATCATAACGTCAAAAACACACTGCAACGACGTCAACCTACCTATCAATTGCAAAATCGGTTGAAAAATCAATTATATCAAATTGTAATTACATTTTTATACCTATGATTTCTTAACTTTGTTTAATTTTAATAATTAAGCGAAAAAAGTTGCATGAAAACAGTAAATACGCTTCATTTTACTATGATGCGCGAAATATTGCGCAATGGAAACTATAGTCGGCCCCCTTAAATTATAATTTAAAGAGTTATCCTTCCTGGCTGAGGATCGGAGTACCTTAATGAATACTCCATTTTGTCGGTGGTTACAAACATTTTCAAAAGGAAAAATAAAATATTGCTAAAAATACCAAAAATTCCTAAAAATTCATATGGCACATTTTTCGGGGATAAGTGGACACGAAAAAAATTCAAAGAGGAATTTTTCACAAAAATTCGCAAGAAACTAGATCTACATATATTTTAAAAAAAGATCATGAAAATCACAAGATGATAGGCATAACTTAATACTAAACATTTCTTATAATTAATGGTATAAAAAACCAGAAACATATTGTTTATAAACAGGAAATAATTCCCTTCAGCTCAGTTGTACCACGGTGTATCTCTGTTATAATTATGCTGTTAATTATCATTAATTCCTGATATTCCTTTTTACATTTCTCTGTCTTACATACAGAAACTCCGACGGGAAATATGTAGATTTTGAAACTCTGATAATCATATTTACATTATTTTTTTAGGATGCATTGGGGCATGAGCTACATGCTAAGGACTTGAATATAACGCTACGCTGCAAAGAATAGGTTGAGCAACATGTTTGATATATATAAAGCACGTAGCAGTGAAAAATAAAGAAAAAAATTGACAATATTATAAAAGCTTCCCTTTCAAAAAATCATTTAAACGTGCTTGAACTTAAAATTTGTCTCCATTAGAATATTTTGTGTTGTCAACTTGTTCTCCAGTAATAGCAATAATCAAAATAAATTCACCCACCTTGTCCAGGGACCTATATACTACTTAGTATATAGCTCCCTGCCTTGTCATCGATTATTTGCAAAATATTTTGTTAAACATCCTGTTAAATACACATAAATGATACAAATACTTTAAGGTTGATCCTAACAATGTATCATAGTTTCTGATTGATAAAAAGTTCTGTAGTTTTTGGAGAACAGGTCTTCAAGCAGCCTACCAGATTCCCCATGGTTTCCTATTGTATCCGGATACCGGTTTTAGCAGATCTATTTTTGTGTCGCCTGCTGAGCAGAGCGACATTAATGGACCACTTTATCTGGTGTCTGTCTGTCTATCTATATGAATGAATTATATGGTGGTAACGAACAGTATTCAAGATCAAAAGTCCATAAAACAATACAAAATAGGAGCAGAACTAACACGACCTACAAAACACCAGATTTGGGATCAGGTCGCAGTGAACATCCCTGCCGACCGGTCACAGCTGTGTTCCTTGTCATGATCGGGAAATAACAGAAAAACCCGTCGTCAATTCAGTGTATAAATAAGGGACTAACAATTAGTATGAAAAACGTCAGTCAGTATTTGACTCAATGATAAATTGTATTTGCTGACGAGGTCATTGTATCGACCATAAAACTTACGAAATGATGGCTTTAAACAAGAGGCCAGATATTCTTGTTTCATCAACTTGTTGATCAATAATTTACCTCGTTTTAGAAATTGTTTATACATAGAGCATGCTCTTGCCTTTTAAATCAACTGAGATATTTAAACTCCGTATGTAGGTGATGATGGTATATTGCTGCATAAGTGAGGGGGAGTTGACGATAGAAAAGTTAAAGTCATCACGTTTATCATAGAGCGTGGTTGTTAGATTACCATTAATGTCGTTTTCAAGTGAATTTTTCAAATATGAGACATATGTTACCATTGTTAATTGACAATAAATCGTTGATATATCTAAATGTCGAGTTGAAGGCCACAGCAAGTGTTTTCTTAATTCTTTTCACGCATAAGATTTTACACAAATTCTGTTTCATACGTATGAATACAAAAATCATATCTGTAATTGATTGTCAAATTTTGCCTTAGTCTTACAATTCGTGTAGATCGTTTTTGTTTTTGCCGAGTCAAAGGTATGGACTCTATTTCTAGCAGTTAATAAATAACTGACTATTGAAGCTATAAAGCAGGTGTCAAATACGTTCATATAATTATAATGTTTATTTTTGTACTTTGTTTTTCCCTTTATAATATATATTGTACTTCAGTTTGAAGTTCAAAGTGACACATATGCTTGATAGGTCAGATGTTAGATTAATCTAAAAATGTTTGTAAACATAAGGTGTACAAGTACAAATGTCATGATTAATAAAAAATATTTTTTGTAAATCAAACATTAAATAGCAATTGAGATACGTACCATATATATTGATGCACCCTACTTTACTGTGACAGATCTGGTCATCCCCACAAACACATGTCGAACTACAACCATATCCGTAGAAGTTCTCTTTGCAGGGCTTGGTACAGTTTATCCCCCATGATCCAATGCAGGCTTTTTAATAGAAAAATATTAAGAATTGTATTGTGAAACAATATGGAAAAAATTAATCACCTTATTTTTACAAAATATTGTAAAAGTTAAAGAATACGTACGCCGACACGCACCATCCACCAATAAGTAATTTGCACAACATCTCTTTAGAGTATCACTGAAAACATTTAAAATTAAAAACCCAAGTATATTATATATATAATAAGCAAAAGTAGTTAAAGGTTGATATCAAACAATAAAAATAATCATAAAAGAAAAAATACACCGTTTATCACAAGCGCTTTCTGGATTTAATCATTCTTCAGGTGAACATACTTTGATCTCAAATATAACATACATTGTACTTACTTGCAGAACTTTGCTTTTCCTGGATACATGACAGATAAGAACAATACCACCAGAGAAATTAACATGTTCAATAATCACTGACGTGGAATTTCTCTCTAAATGTTTATTGATATTGATAATCATTGCATTTATTTCCCCTGAACTGTCATGAATTAATACTGCTTCCTTCTTTTGATATATATTTAGCTCCATACTGTTATTTCATTAATTAACAGGAAAATGTTATCAGAACCAGTTTTTAAAAATATTTTAAAGAAAAAATAGTTAACCTTCACTTTAAGGGGAATGTTTGTGTATAATGTTGTTTACCTATTCCGTCCGTCTGTCTGTCACTTTACCTTCGTTAATCAGTCTTCTCTTACAGTTTTGACTGAAGCGAACTCATCATTTAAAATATGGCTTTGCTTTGCGAGAATGGGGTAATTGAAATAAGTAATTTTCACAAAAGATCGCATGAAGAGGTATAATTATCTCTTCAATAGTATTAAAAATAAAACGTGTAATGTATTGTAGATGTGCAATAAGATTTTCGAATTTCTATTTGCATCCTGGGGGCAAACTGGGTTGAAGAATAAAAACTGATTTCCTAATCCCGTTTTACATTTTTTGCGGAAGTCAAATCGCCATGATAAATTAAGTTCATACACAATGTAGTCTGAACTTTATTGGGTTCTTTCCTGGAATTGAAGAGTTCCACGAAATGAAGGACCCGTGTGCAATACCTTTAATGTCCATATATGGATTTTTACACCTCTTCTAAAACAATTTTTGCTGAAAGAAAATCTGGAATTTATGTTTGTAATTTTTGTGCATTTTTCTTTGAATAATGCAAAAATTTCCACATTTTGATATCTTTTCAAAACCCCTGGTAATGCATGCTGATTTTTTGTCTAAGAACATTTAATGTTATTGTAAGTTTAAATTTAGAATATCTTGAAAAATTATCAGTAGGTGATGTACGTTGCGTATGTCCTTCAAGTCCAGGCTTTTTTTGATTGGGACGAGTAAGAGGTAAAAATGAAGTTTTCTTTTAAAAAGGGAGCCCAATGGAATTCATATTTTGAAATATAAAAAAGTTTAGATTTTCAATTTTAGGCGAAGAGGGGTGGGGGTAATATTAAAAATATGAAGGTTTCTGAACATTAATGACCAGAGATTACAGCTGATGACATTATTTTATGTGTTAAAGGTAAAGATAAGACACAGTGATCATATAAAATATGTACACAAGAAGCCTATGGGTTCATGACCCATAGGCCTACCTGAAGATATTCTTAATTTGATACGTA